TCTGAATTTCTATAAAAAGAAAATAGTGGCTCACAAAATGCAAGACTGTAGCACAGAGTATGTACAGTGCTTTTTGTGGGATCAAGAGTGCATTAGACACCAGCAAAATTTACTGAAAAGATATGACAGTATCTTACAGAGAAAAAAAATCTGAGCAAGTTCTTTATTTAATTTCAAGGGATTAAAAAATAATTCTTAAGCAATATACTGCATTGGTCTGTTACTAGTAGTTAATTTTTTATTGCATTACACAAAACCTCTGGGGGTGATACTTTTCCACAATAGGTTCCAGATAGCTGCTTTTTCATTTCTGAAGAGTACGAGTGATGATTTAGTGTGTCTTTTTCTAACTGTGCGATCTCGTACAGTGTGAAACAAAATGTTAATCAAAGCAACCTGGATGAACAAGAGATCAGTGACTGTGAAACAAGCAGACGGAGCTGCACTTGGGTTGAGTGGAGGCTTCTGAGGAGGAGGAGGAGGGGTGTTGAAACTGAGGGTTACCCAAGGCAAAGCTGGAGGTTGGCTTCTCTGCTTCTGTGTGGTCATTGTGTTTGAACTCTCTCTCCTAACTCATCCTTCATTGCTTAAGTCCACCAATGAATAATTCGTCAAGTACATTTAACAAAGAACGTAACATCATTTTTGTACATAAGGATGATGCCTTCTACGAGAAGATCCTTTGTTGCTTCCTGGAACTAATGGCTTATTGTAAAAGACAATTTGCACAAACCATTAAGGGGACTGTATTACAAAAGTTTAAAGCTTTTACAGTACATGGCTTTATCAGTTTTAATCCTAAATTATTCTTAAAATAAAATGTGTAGCTTTGGACCTTCTTTACTGCTGTAAATATTTTTTAAAAAAAGTATATATACTCTTTCATTCATCTTGAGTTTCCATTGTACAAAGCTGAATGCTTAAAAAAGAAAGCTGGCTTCAGGTGGATTCAGACCTGGAAATAATCCTGGTAAAAGGTATGATTTTTATTTTTTTTTTTCTATTACTGCACTTCTTGAACCATATACAAAAAGCTCCGTGTGTACTAACACAGATTAAGTTTTATTATACAATTAATTATCTGAAGTTGTATTTTAACTAGCCTGAAACTTGTAAAGAAGTAAAAAAAAAAAAAACAAAAAAAAACCCCCAAAAACATTTGTAGGCAAGTTCCAATATTCCCATGCTTTGGGTCTATGCTTTAACAAATTTGGACAATAAATTGGAAGCAGAGCAACAGGCAGTAGCAGGTTAGGTAGTGCTGGAGTGGGAAAGGAAAATGAGATATTAAAAAAAAAAATCAGAAAAAAAGAAAAGGAAAAATAAAAAGACTAGCACTTGATTCTAGTAAGGAAGAGAAATTTTGTCACTGTTCTTTATCACAGCCCATAAATGCTTATCGAGTAGGATGCTTTTTTATTAAAACCACCAGGGTGTGTGGTGGAATTTACAGAATTTTTCAAGTGTTTTAAAGGAATTTTTTTCACTGAAGTAGGTTAAGTGCATAAGAAATAAAATGTGTATTTGCTGAGAAAAATATATACCAATACTTTTCCTTATTATTCCTTTTGCTAACAGGATAATTTCAGGTGCTTAACACAAGTGCACTAATGTACCCTTGGACTTAAGTGAATGCTACCTGCTGGGGAAGGGAATCATCCTCCCCAGCTGAACTTTATGCCATGGAAATGCATACAAAGTTGCAAGCCACGTTTATCTTCCAGGACTGATTATTAGTAAGGTGTTTGCAGTGTGCTTGCAATATACCCAAGGTGATGTATCTGATTATCATTCTTCTCTCTCAAATTATAAAACACATCAATCAAAAGCTAACAGGAGGTGGGACATATGGTGTCTCAGAGAAGCACAAGCTGCTGGGCTCCCACCTGTGCCTGGCCTGCGTCGGTGCCAGGAGGGACCACTGAGTCCTGCTGACTTCAGAGCCTGGGAGCTGTGAATTCAGACAGACCTTTTGGGATGCTGTAGCTCCTGCTCTTTCTGCGTGTCACTTACAAGTCATCCATGCTGTGTTCCTGGCACCCCCAAGGGATATAGATTACTGCTGCCTTCTGTACTACACAGCTCCACTGTGAGTACTAGCGACATGTCGGGTACAGGGTAGTTGGTTTGGAGCTGCTATTTCCTTTGAACTGGTTTAATTTTTGAAGTTTAATCAGTGTATAGTTGCAGTGCTGCATGTTTTTATGTTTATTTAAAATATCTTTGCATACATGCTTTATTTATATCCAAATAATTATGGTAGCCAGTACTAGAGTTTATGTTTAAAAATTGTTATTTTAGACAACATACCCCACAATGATTTCTCTTTTTATTTCATGTAGGCCAAGCTTCATGAAAGTTTGCAAATCCATTTTGTAGTAAGCTTCATACTGTCTGATACGCCCATGTAGCTGCAGCTCTTTGTATTTTTCATCCCGCATGTGATGCAAGATTAAAAGTGACATGATTTCCTTGTTCCTGTAAGTAGGCGTTCATACCAAATGAGGTGGTCATCCCCAGTCACGCAGTCCTGCTCTTCTACTGCACCATCCTGTGTGCTGGGGTATCCTGCAACAGAGTGGTAAAGCAGATCAGGATTAAATCTAAACAATTTTTCTTGTTGCCAGTCTAGTTTGTAACCCAATAGAGTTTGCTGTGCAGCCACAGAAATGTTTTTATGGGCACAAAGAAGCACAGGGCACAGGTGTGAAAATGAGAAGCAGAACCATCTTTCTAAGTCCCATGACTCTCTTATTGTGACCTAATCATGAAACTGTGATACTACTTTATTTGAAATTATGCATAGAAATTAGCAGCTTGGCAAGCACGGCTGGGTAACATAATCAGGCTTTTAACTGCTCCCAAACTGTACAAAGAGGATCAGAAACATTTAAAATGCACAAGTGATCTTTCCATCAAACCAAACAGCAGCCAGACCCAGTTTGACATATTTTATGCTCACACCAAGGGAAAATCCATCTGAAAAAAAAAACAAAGGGACCTCAAAAGACATAGTCTGAGAGTCTAGAAATTGCTATTCATGACCCAGATTTCCACTGAAGAATTCCTGGAACTCATCCTTGTCCCACTTTTCCCGGATCATGCTTCCTATATTCTCAAATGTTAAGGTCTGCTGATTGTCATTGGGCCTTTTGTTCTTTTTCTGTCTTAATATTATTACAGTTTTCCGAAGTTTGAAATCACAAGAAACTCAAAAAGTGAGTTAAACCTTTGCTGCCCAAGATTGCTCAGCAGCAGAGCGTGGAATTAAACCTAGGCATTATACAGTCTTCAGCTTGGCTGATAACAAAGCAGAGTTCAGTGTTTTTTCCAACCTTCCTCTTATTGCCCTCACTAATCGCTAAAACGTGCCTCGTGGATAGCTGCTGTGACTTTATGCTCAGTTCAGCTTCAGTTACTGTATCCTTCATTCGATTGCGACAGTGGGACCTACCCTTATTCTCTAATACCAGGTTACGCAAACAGATTAAGGAGCCATCTGCAGTACAAACTGAAACTGCTCTATAATCGCGTTCCCGGCTCACGCAGAATTTTGGCTTACGCAGGATCTGTGTCTCCTTGAATTATTCACCAGCCTCCCTGCTACCCCTCTCCTTCTTCAAGCTGGAAACTCACAGCAAGCGCTACGGTCAAATATGCCAGCGATTAAATCACTGCGCTTTGAGCACGCTCAGCTCAGATTCCGTTTCGGGGATTTAAAGGAATATTTGAGGTAGTTCAAAGGGAAAGCAAAACCTCTCCCTTCCTTGCGCCTCCTTTGAATGTGCTTGAAAGGACAGTAGATCAGAGCTTGCTGCTTTTGCCACTCTGCTGTCAACAGCTGAATTGTTAAGTGATTTAATGCCAACGCATCCCTTATGTAGCTTTGTAAAGCCTCAAAACTAAAAATACATGCTTTCGTCAAGTATTTTCAGAGTATCTGTTTTACCTAGTCGTGTGCACAGCAAGGTCTTGGTTCATCATTAGCGAAAATAATTCTGCATTCTCAAGTCTTTTCTGTTGTTACAGTCACCTTTACCAACAAGAAAGTCCTTTGAAATGACGAAACTGAAAACTCGCACTCTAAATCGCCTTTGTCTTCAGAGGGCTTTGCCACAGGAAAGCAGGACGGAGCCCTGACTACGTGTGTTGTAAAAGCAGCTGTAACAAAGGCCGGAGCTTCGTTTGTTTTCTGCCGAGAGACACACAGGCGGCGGCTGCGCTGCGGCTCCCGGGGAAGCTCCCTCCCGCAGCCGGAGGGGCAAGAGCGCCCGGACAGAGCCCGCCCGCCCTCTCCGGCCGGCGGGAGCCGCTGCCAGCCATGGCCGACAGTAAGCGGAAAAGAAAGGAGGCAGAGGCAGGGAGGGAAGAGGCTAAGACTGAAGGCAGGAGATAGACGATCTGGAACGAGCAGCCCGAGCAGTGCCGGTCTAGATCGAGAACAAGTGAACAGGGGGGAGGTGCTGCGGCACAGCGAGGCGCTGCCGAGAGCCGGGAGGAGGCGGCGGAGGCGGCCGGCCCCGCGTTGCTGGGAGCGCGGGTACGCTCTCGGCCGTGCCAGCGGCAGCTCCGACCCTCGACACCCTCTGGGGCCGCCCTTGCACGTCCCACGGCGGAGGCGCGGGAAGGGGGGAAAAGAGAGGCTGACGCACGGGGCTTTTTAAAAGTGGGGTGAGCCACTGCCGCCGCTCCTGCGCAGCGGGCCCGGCCTCCGTACGGGAGAGAAGTGAGCGGAGCGCGGGGCAGAAAAAAGAAGCGGCTGCCGCAGCGCACGGCGTCCCCAGCCGATGCCTCGGCCGCGCTCCCGCGATCCCTCAGGCGCTGCGGGCGCGCCGGCCGGGGCAGGAACTGCACTTCCCGTGGGGCCGCGCGGCGCAGCCGGCATGCGCGGCGGGCGGGGCGGGGCGGGGCGGCAGGTTGCTGTTGTTACATAGGAAACAGCTGAAGAGTCTCCACATGACAGGGGGGGAAGGAGGAAGTGGGGCGGCCCGCGGGGCTCCGCCGCCGCCGCTCCGGTAGTTGCGGGGCTTGGCCGGCGGCTGCTGGCGGGGAGAGTCCTTTCCGCAACGCGTGGGCCGGACGCCCTCGAGGGCGGACCTGCGCCCCGGTACCGCCGCTGAAGGGAGGCAGGCAGGGAGCGGGGGAGCCCCCCGCCGGGCCGCGGCGCCTCGCCGGGGAAGTTTGGTGCGGGGTGAGATCCCACCGGCCGCGGCGGTGGCGCCGGGTATGAACGGCTTCGCCCCCGAGGAGGTGACCCAGCGCGGCACAGAGCCCGCCGCCGCGGCGGTGGTGGGCAATGCGGGCTCCGCCGTGGAGGTGCCGCCGCCGCCGGCGCCGCCGGGGCTGGGTCCGGCCGCCGCCGCGGGCTCGGCGGGCGGCGGGTGCGCGGGCGGCCCCGGGGCCGGGCAGCTGTGCTGCCTGCGGGAGGAGGGGGAGCGATGCGGCCGCGCCGCCGGCAACGCCAGCTTCAGCAAGCGCATCCAGAAGAGCATTTCGCAGAAGAAGGTGAAGATCGAGCTGGACAAGAGCGTAAGTCCGCGAGGGGAGGACGCGCCAGGGCAGCCGCCGGGGCGGGCGGACAAAAGCGGCCGGTAGGTCGCTGCATCTGTCTTAGTTGCTCGGGGGACTTTTAAACAAGTTTAGTGGGGGAGCAGGGGTGTTTAGTGGCAGGGAGGTGTTCGTTCCCCCTTCCCACCTCTTTTCCGTAGCACGCCCGAGTTTGGCTGGCGCGACAGGAGCACTGCCTGAAAGTCCCTCTGGGCGGGGGACAGTGCCAGCCTTTCCTGCCTGCTCCTGGGGTCCCCTTTAGCCCCAAGAGCCTGGGCATCGGCTGCGTGTGCCCAGCTGTAGCCGGAGAGGGGAATCAGCGCGGCCGCTTGTCGGAGCGGAGCCTGCATGGCTCCCGGCGCGCTAGTTTGTCTGTGTTGCTGGCGAGGGCCGCGCTCGCTGCCCCGCCTCGTGTTGCAGCGCCGCACGTCTCCCGTGCCGCTTTATCTTCCGCTCGGCAGCCATCGGGCCCCGCACGGCAGGGCAGGGCAGGGGCCGGCCGCCTTCTAACGGGGTGTGATGCCCGGGAGCCGGGAGAGCGCCCGGCCTCGCCCGGTGCCGCGGGAGGGCCAGAAGGGGTACGGTGTGGGGCTGCCGACGGGAGCGCCCCGGGCCAGGGCTGCGTGCGCCCCGAGGGACCCCGGCCCGGCTGTGCTGCCCGGTCCCTGACGCTGCCCCGCGCTCTCATTTGCCCTTAAATCACGCGGACCTGGGGATTCCGGGCTGCTACGCGCCGAAATCTCCCAAAGCGTGCATATCCCTGTGAAAGGAAAACTTGTTAAAAAGAAAGAAAGTAAAAATAAGTGTGTTTCGTGACCGCGCCGGGTAGCGGAAGTAAAACAAGGAGGGGAGGATATAGCTGGGGAAATAAGAGCCGTCTCTTAGCCGTGCAGAGAACAACCGAAAGCTTGTTTTTTGTTTGCGTGCTGCCCGGCCCCCGCCGTGCGATGCGCGGCCGGAGGGAGGGAGGGCTGTGCTGCGTGGCTCCGCAGCCTGGCACTGCTGCATCGGCCCATTGCAGCATTTCAGCGAGCTCGGGGCCCAGCCGGCGGCACGGAGCTGCAGCACACTCTCCATTTAGAGAAAGACAGTAGAAAAGCTTCCTCGACCCTGTTAATGCGACTGCGAGTGCTTAAGGGTTGTCTGTCTATCGTGCACTTTAGTCTGGGAGAAATCCATTACACGGATTTGATTGAAGGATGCTGCTTTATTCTTCTAGGCAAGACATCTGTACATTTGTGACTTCCACAAAAATTTAATTCAGAGTGTGAGAAATAGAAGAAAGAGGAAAGGCAGCGATGATGATGGTGACTCACCAGTGCAAGACATCGACACTCCAGAGGTAGGTAAACAGTTGTTGTTTTTTTTTTTCCTGAGTTGCTGTGTTAAGCTTCTTAATGTCACTGAGTGCACCAACACCATTCTCCCACTTCTACAGTTTACCTTATATATGGGAGGGGGAAGATTCTTGATTCACACTGTTTTCATATAAGAGAATTTAACTGATTTTTGTGGCACGTTTTCTGATTAAATGGTGCAGAGTATTTTTAAGTGTCTGATGGTTATCTCGGAAATCTGCTGTTTTCAGCTTCTTTCTCCTTAGTGCTTCCTCTCTTCCTTAGTGCTTTGCCACATACCATCAAACTCTTACCTTTTTGCAGGACCTGACAACTTGAAGGGAATTGCACATAGTGCTTGGGATATAAATGCTTTTCTGTCCTGTCCCTTCAAACCTTTATTTTGTGCTAAATGTATTGCAGATGGTTCTCAGTAATTACTCCATTGTCGTAGTCACTTTAAACAGAGTTTAATGATGGCTTTGTTTCAGCCTCACTGTGGGGGGAAGAGCCATTTGGGAAACTGCTGTGAAGGAGCGGAGTAGAGGAATACCGTGTTTTTTCAGCCTATTTTCTCTACTGCACTCCAGTGAAATCTGACCCATTAAAATAAGGGAACTAAAGCGTTCAACTTTTTTTCATAGTGTAAACAGTCGGTCATGAACATAAGGCACTCTTTTTCTTACACTGTGCTGTGGGTTATTTCTGCTACAGCATTTCTTAGCAGGTGCTCCGCACACAGTGTGTTAATTTTGAGCAGAGGCTGTTATGCCTATGTGGTCCCTTCTGAGAGAGGGATTGTTAAAACATTCTTCAGAAATTGCTCTGTAAGTGTTAATTTAATGGCACCCTTATGGTCAGCATCTGCAGATAACAGCAAGTATGTGAGGAAATTTTGTGCAGGAATCTGTGCCTTTAGGCACAAGGCTCCTGTCTGAAGCCTCTGGCTAAGAGGATTTTAGGAGATTGAAAGTAGTTTGATGCTGGGTGATGTCTGTTAAATATCTGGGATTGTTTCTTGGAAAGTCCTGTCTAAAGCTAGTGCTGTAAGTGACTTCAGGTAGCTCTCTGACACTGTGTAGTTGCAGCTCTTGTGGAAGCCTATTTTGTTTACTTATGCCAGGATTATAAAACATTTCACAACTGATGGGTATCTCCAGAACAAGAAAACAATCTTTATTTTCTTAACAGTATTATTACAAAAAAGAAAACTGGGAACTGTTTTTGAGGAGTGTCAGCTGGCTGTTTGGACAAGGGCACTATGTTCATTCCTTGTAATTACTGTATGCCTTAGATACTTGTTTGCCCTAGACCACCTTTATTTTCAATTATTATCCAGTTTGCTAAGGAAAAAAAATATCATTCTTCTGAAGGGTTGTAAGGCTCTCCAGCTTCCATCTCAGTCATGACTATCTTTACTGGTTAGAAATTATTCCTACAGGAGGAAAAGAAGCTCTTGCAGTACTGGTAGCTTCTGGAGCTTGGTGAAAAGCTGCTGCTCCTCCTTTGCACGATGCTGCAAGGGTGGCTTCCCCACTGTGACTCGGGAAGTTGAATTTAATGCCATGTAAATGTTAGAAATGCCAAAGGGTACAATCCTTTATCATGCAAGGTGGCCTCACTTCAAGTCTGGCCAGGCTGCCACGTGTGCTGTAGCACTGCTGTATTAAGTGCTCTGCAGTGAGGCTGTTAAGTGAATTTAGAGCAAAAGTGAATGCCTTCATCAATCTTCAATGCAGTGAGTTTGGAGAGTACTTTTGTAATTGCAACTGACCTAATCAAATTTCTCATTCAGCTTGCTTTCTGAGCTTGCTCTCCCTCTCAGTCATCTAAGCTCTCTTTGGTTGGCAAGGAGGATATGAGGGTAAGCTGTTGCTGGGAGAAGTGACTGATCAGAGTGCATAGGATTCAAAACTGACCCAGTACTTAAGGATTAAGGCTGTGTATTTGCATCCCTGAGAGGACTGTGTAATTCTCTCAACTGCTGACTGACATTGAGAAAGAGTTTTAGACCTTTATGCCCATGCACATAACTCCTGCATTTTGCTTGTGTAGCAGGGATACATTTGGAGAGCAAGAGCAGTTGTTTTCATTCCTCAACTGAAGCCAAGAACGCTTGTGCTCCAGACTTTGTCCTGATTCTAGTATGTGCTCCTTCACGGTGCAGATGTGCTGTGGTCTTGTATGTAATCTACATAAGATTTAATGGCTGAAATCACTATATAGGGGCATCTTTTAAATCAGCCTCTTCATAGATGCTATATAAAAGTTGCTTTTGGGCTTTGTGTTACTGTGCTGGAACTGGGAAGCAAGCAAAAAACCCAGAACTGATGAAAGTACGGTAGTGAGTTCAAAATGCTGTCCACAGCTAAAGGAAGGTAGAGGCATGCTCAATAATAGCAAAACACTCTTAAACTGAACTGCGCTATTTTCCTTTCTGCTGGAAGGTGCAGGGTGGAGTTTGTTTTTTGTCAAAATGACATCTGCTGAGCTGACTGTTTACGTTTGCGTATCTGTGAGTTTCCAAAATGTTTCTGCGACGCAAACTATTAATGACTGAATTTTTTTTCAGTTATATTAGATTGTTTTCTTCCCTTTCCCCCTCTTTTCTTCTAGGTTGATTTATATCAGTTACAAGTAAACACACTTCGAAGGTACAAAAGACACTTCAAGCTACAGACGAGACCAGGACTTAACAAAGCACAGCTTGTTGAAGTATGTATGAGTGTTTCCCATAATAGAAAATGCAACTTGCTGTGGCATGTGGTTTTCTATACACTGTGATCCTTGCATAAAGTGCCTGTATAATCTGGATTTTAGGAGAACAAAAGGGAGCTGCTTATCTAGCTTCCTTCATTGGCCACAGCTCCTGAGCCAAGTAAATCAAAAGTAAAAGCTCTTTCCAGAGGAGGGACTCTTCCAGAAGGAGTGTGTGCTGTGCTCAACACAGTGTTGAGCTGGAACAGTAAGATGATCTTCATGCCCCTGAGTATCACAGAATCATGGATGTATTCTGTCTGTGCATCAATCACAGCTTCACCTGAAATGTCCTGCTGAAAAGAACTAGAAACAGAGGTGTCAGTGAAGTTCTAGTAAGGTACAGACTTTGCTTTAAAAAGCCAGTTACTGCAGCCATAGGTTTCTGTATATGTAAAGTACAGAAACCTGAAAAAACATGCTTCTGTTGATAATTAATTCTGTTAAAACCACTGGAATCTGCTGTCAGAAAACTGGAATTTTATGGAATTTACTGTTTCTAAAAGTGCTGGAGCTGCATGTCAGTACAGCTGTATGTTAGCATCTTTGCTTCACATGAGTGCAATTTTAAAGGAATTCTTTAGTGCTGCAAAGGTGCAGTCACAGCATATTGATGTAAATAAGTGAAGAGCTGGTGATCTTAACAGGAAGGTATAGCTACTGATTTTTCACTTTCATCAGTGATACATTCAGCTGTACTTAAGTGCAGACACTGTTTTCATCTCTCCTTAATCTGTGTGGATTAAAAGCAAGGCTCTTAAAGGTATGGTTGATCTCAAGGCTGAACTGTAAAAGAACAGTCCTGCTGCTACTAAGTGTAAGAATACAAAATCAGTCTTCCATTTTTTTATATGTAGGTTAGCTGTTGAATTAGAAGGACTGTGATTTGAAAAAGCACAAGCAGTTTTTGTTCTGCAAAACAGGTGTTTCAAAGGATCTGCTGATACTTGCACTAGGTTATTCCAATGTTGCATGGTGTGCATGGGCAAAGCTGCTTCTGCCACATGCTTGATTTGACTGACCTGCAGGTACTTGTGAGACATAACCACAGAGCGTCCTTAATATGCAGTACATTGGATTCCTTGTAATCTGTCCTCACATACCATGGACACTGCTCTAGCTGTTATTGAAAGTTCACATTACTGTGTCAAACAGCTTGTCTGTGAATGCTTTTGGGGTAGAGTTTGGAAAGCTTCCTAACTTTTTAGTTAGGCTAAACATTTATTCTTAAATATTGTGGTGCTTAAGTGAGCAGTCCCATGTTTTTCTCTTCATAATTTTAATCTACTAACCTGGCAAAAAGCCAGAGAGCAGACTCAGTTACAATATTTTGCAACTTTCTTTTAAAGCTGGTGTTCATTTTGATGAAGGAAGAGACTGCTGGTATGACAAGTGATTCAAGAACTGCTTACAGATTGTCATATTTTAATGGTTACAGCAGGGTGAATTTTCATTGATAGCTCTGTTTTGATGAGCTGAATGTTCAGTTATAGTTCTGTGATAGTCCTTGTGTTGTGTTAGATGTTTCTGTATGTGATTTGATGCAGACACCCCCTCCCAAGCTGAGTGGAGAGCAGTAGCCTCTCATAACTGTGCTGTCACTGATATTCTGTAGTCATTCTGTAGTTAAACTGTTATATTCAAGCTTTAACTAAGCAGATGTCGTGATAGTCCCATGCTTGTTCTAATAGCTTTGAGTGCTTTTTTCCCTGAAAAATTTCTCATCTTTTTACTTTGGAAGTTAGGGGTACAATCTGCTGCATTTAGTTCACAGTTATCCGTAAAATGGTTCCTGTTTACATTTCTATGACCACTAAAGACTTCTGAAGAGAGGCAACATTTCCTTTTTTTGTAAGCTTCTTAATCAGTCTTTTAAACTTTAATGTGGTACATTTAAATTTGAATCTTCAGTTTTTACATGTAAGAGTGATTATTTCATTTCCTTGCATTCTTCCTTTATAGATAATTGGCTGCCATTTTAGGACAATTCCAGTGAATGAAAAGGACACCTTAACATACTTCATCTACTCGGTGAAGAATGACAAGAACAAACCAGATCTAAAGATGGATAGTGGGGTTCATTAGGCAGAAAAGTTTGGGACTGAGACTCAGGCTGCAAATCAAAAGACTGCATATTTGTTGATATGCAAAAGCTTTCTTTGTAACTTTTCTCCTGAGAGAGTTTGTCTGTTTTATTTTTCATAACCTTGCTGATTTGTTTGAAAACCATCTCTTATGAAACAAATTTCCTCAGCAAAAGTATTTTAAATAAATATTACTGATATTGTTGCTCAAATGGGTGTGTCTGTAATTTTAATGAGTTGGACTCAATGATCCTGATGGGTCCCGTCCAGCTCAACATATTCTATGATTCTATGATACTTGTACCTAATAGCTAAGCTTTGGTGAACTATGTAATAATTTTAAAATATTTTTCAATTAAAATGTACCAAGGATATATTTACAAATGTACCTCAAGTGCTCATGATGCAATGCCTTTAAAAGAAAAAGCTGTAGCAGTCTTGACAATAGGTTCTTTTTCCTAAAATAGAAGGCTTGAATTGTCTGTTCTGTTCTTAGCTGGGCAGAAATGTCTGAATAACACTTTTCCCCCCCCCTCTTTGGAAACGAGAACTGGAAGATTTTCTGATTTATTCAGTTTGTCATTGTGGAGATCCATGCTTCCAAGCACTGAGGCCTTCCTGCTCCTATATTAAAATGGAAAAAAGTGCAGCTCTTGAATTTCAAAGCTGTAAGTACAGATGAAGAGGCTGCTGCAGCTTACTGTGCTGAGAAATCCTTTGACTCGGTAAGAAATCCTTTACCTGCTGACTTCTCCATTTGTCTGCGTGGACTGCTGCTAAGAACTTAATTGGAGAATGGGAGTGGAGCCTGTGTGGGGTCAATACAGTCTCTTCTGACGGGCACACTGTCTCTTTTTCATTGCATGGATTAGCTCAGGCCTGTTCAAAAGGAGCAACCCCCTCTCAATAAACCCAAAACTAATGGTAACTTATGGAGAATAATATCCAGCATTACTTAGGCTTTTAATTGATTGTCTTAGAAAATTCTGGTGTTGAAGATGGTATTATGAATGACTTCTTGTATTGTCAACTATTGTGCCAGTCTAAATGTGTGGTGTATGGAATATGATTTCTTTCTGCTTAAAGCTGTGCACATAGGATGAATAAAAAGCTGAGGGAAAATAGCTTTCATCTTAAAGCTGAGGAGGCTATGGCTTCAGCTTGTTCAGTTAGCATTCATTGCAACTCCTAACCTTATCAGATGTTTATAAGCTTTTTTTTAAATTGGGAAAAATGAGAAAGCTGTATGTCTGTGATCAAATCTGCCTGATGTTAGTCTTTCAAGTTTTTTTGAAAATTACTACTCTGCTGGAATCACTACAACTGAAATGCTTCACTTTGCTTTTTTTGACCTGTGACACTTGCATAGAGCTGAATGATGATAAACCCTAACCTCAAACTGGCTGCTTTCCCAGTATCTCTCAGTGCTATGATTTCTTTTACTTGTACTGCTTTATGTATTTCCACAATACAGTTCTGCAGTGCTGGCCTAAGTTCAAGACAGTGATATCTAGCTAGTGACAGCTAAAATTGGTGCTCCTTTGACAATATGTTTTCATGCCCATTTCACTACAGGGGCAGTCAATTTGTTTACTAAATGTCCTTTGCACACATTCAAGCTTCTTGCCTTCAAAAGTGCAAGTCGCATAAAAAGCCAGGGAACATAGTCATGGATAGGACATCTAAAGGATAGAGAATTTTTTTCTGAGTGCCTGACAGGGTTGAATGTTCCCACCTAGGTCTGGCAGGACCTGTAGAAGAAGCTGTGTGAGGGAAGTAGAGTGGGGAAAGAAACAAAAGCAAGTTTCTATGGAAAGTCAGTCTAAAAGTATTGTAACTTCAGTGACCCTATCTTGCTGCACGTGGAAAGCGGCAAAATTTTGCTCCAGTGGATTGTGGATTTTCCAGGAGTCACGGAAGAAAGGTAACTGAAAGCCACTAGCTTCAGTACCCAGCTTTCTATCTGCCTGAAATTTTTTTCTTACTGCTGCTTTACAAAGCTGTGAATGCCAGGTGTATGCAACATGATTCTTGTAGAAACTAGATGGCACGAACAACAGAAGTTAACATACCCTAAAAGCTTGTAGAGGACTTTACACAACAGCACATACCATAAGTTTTTTTTTGCAGAGCACTGACTTCAGGTATTTTCACTGGGTTGCCAGATTTATGGGGTTTTACTATCAGTTATTTGGTAAGAAGTCCAAATTACTCTAATTTGCTTGAATAATTTCACAAATGAGGCTTGAAAAGCCTGGTGGCGCAAACGGTTTAACAGTCACTAGGGCAAAAATAATACACACAGATTTACTTGAAACATTTATTATTGGCTGTGTATAATCACCCCCTCACCCAATATCCAACCCTTGTTTACTAACAAGAAGAAAAAACAGTCACGATATTTCATACTGACACATGAAGTAAGTGTGGTAAACTGGTGGTAGAAGTTTGGTCCAATGTGTAAGATTATGAGATGAACACTGAATTTTTTGGATAGACAGGACTGCACAGTTCCTTCAGTACTGCACACTTCCCATGTGACTGACTTGATAGCTAAAGACTGTATATGTGTAAGGCAGCAAGTCAGGCTTGCTGCCTGTAAGCCTGGCTTGTACAAGGTTACTCTGCTTAAAATTATGTGGTCACCTCTCAGCACCTGCCAATACAGATTGCCATATAACAAAAACAGTCAAAAATTTCTGTCTCTTTGTATCTACAATCTCACAGATACGTATCTATCTCTCACAATACCTCTTAAAAATTAAAACTATTATCTCTGTGTTTTCTATAGCTATTGCCTTACAGGGCTAGCCTAAAAAAGCCAGCATTTTAACTTAATTTTGTGGTACTGTATTTCAAACAGCTTGATTAAAAAATCTGTTGTTCTAATATTTTTACACGTTCAATGCTACGATTAAGCAGTTTAAAGGTTTAGAGACTGCATAGTCAAGGCAGGTGATCAGTTAAGCATAAGACCCAAGTGTGCTTTAGTACTGTTAATGTCAACTTGTACTATTTTTTTTATTCCAGTGAAATACTTTCAAATATGGAAATGTGTTTTGTATGTGCATGTATTTTAAGATGCCTAAAGAGAACATGGGAACCTCTCTTCCAAAGTGCCAGGGACCAAGTGGCTTCAGGTTAAAACAGCATTAAAAGTGTGATGGCAATAATGGAATAGGAAGCTTCACTGCCATAAGTTGCTCTGAGAGTCATGTTCCTAACAACATGAAGGCTTAAGCTTGAAGTTTCTTGGTCCATACTAGCTAAGGATATTGTGCTGAGTAAGAAGAGTTATGCTTTTTCCTGGGGAATGCCTATTAGGATATATTAAGAGCTTGTAGTCTGTTAAGCCATGGAAATGGTTTTATGGAAATTGTCTCAGCTATCGTATTTGAAAAGAAGACTTCTTGAATATTTGATATCCCATAAAGGTATAGAAAGGAAATTCTTTCTACAGTGTAAAGTGAGGCAGTGACTTGTGGTTAGAAAGGATTTTTTTTTTGTTGGTAGTTCCATTTTTTCCCTTGAAAACTTTATTACATGATCGTAGAATGATGTCTGTTATCTTCACTTGCAGACTTGAATCATTGACTGTTGCAGGGGATCACAAAAGATACCTTTGGTCCAAAGAAAATATCCCTGAAAGATAGGATCACATATTTAAACAATTAGATCATTGGTTTATTAGAGCTTTAGTGTGATATGCATTTCCCACTGTGGATATTTTTTAGCCTGTATCATGATATATGTGGGATTATTGACACTGTGGGATGTCCTTCCAGAAATGCAACTGCAGGTCTGGATGAAGATACTATGTTTCTACCTCTGCTGTGGGTACAATGACAAAACTTTCATTGGCTGATGAGGCTGCAGAACTCCACCCTGGTATTTTAACTTTGAGAAAATAAATTTACGAAATAGATTATATTACCAAAATAAAGTACTTTGGCGTGTGCACACATACTGGTTTGGTGCAGTTTGTCCCGAGGGCACGGATGCAAAGCAGGTCTTGTGTACTTCAGGATGGTGGAAGGAGTATTTTCTTGCATATTTTTATCAAAGGAAGAGGCTTTACTATGCTGCTCAAAGGTCGAAGCTAGAGACCCAAAGTGTGCTTCAGGGTGAGGACACCATATCTGGTTTTAGGGAAAGTTAAGGATGAAAATCTTACTTAAACCCTGCTCTCAGTTTGAATGTGAGATTTTTAGCTTTAGCAGTCTTTCCCATTTGGTTCAACTTGAGTCCCCTACAGGAGTGCTGAAAAGTTGCCTTTATTGGATTTTAGGGGATTTGAGAAATGAGTGTAAAGAGGAGCGCATATAAAAAAAACATTTTTGCTGGCCTATACTATGTCATCACATTTTGGTGCCTCTGAAGTATTAGTAAGTTTTGAACTGTTGATATTTCTAATCAAAATTAACTGAATAAAAGTTGTTGCTGAAAAGGTGAATGAAATAGTACCTCTTAATACATTTTATTACCTAAAACCATTATAGGCTGATGGTGTTCATTTAACTCAGTTATGTTCTTTCTACGTAACAGCAGCAAACCCCCTGTCACGTTCAGTGAGAATTTCACTGTTCAACTTTGTCAGCAGTGCGAGGAAACTGGGGAAGTGTTGATGTTCTTGGGCTCAATCTTTGCCTTGCCTTAAGTATGTGTGAGCTCCTATGCCCCTCCTTTCCTTTTCTGCTTTTAACAGCCGTTTTTACAGAATTGCTTCTTCAACAGACATATGTGCATGCACTTTAGAATAGCAATACAGTTCTCTTCCATGGAACAGAAATGAAATAGGATTTTTTTTGTGGTCCTGAAAACATCTTCATTGCAAAATGCTGTGAATAAGGGTTTGATGTAGTTATTCTTAGTTTGGATCAAACAGAGGAGTCAAAAGTTGGGTGATTCAAGCGCTGAAGTCCCTATTAATAGGACAGGGAGGTTTACAAGATATGCTAAGGAAGTCCTAGGTGAGCCCTTGAAAAAGAAATCCTCAAAACTGACAGTAACAGAAAATTTGCTATATCTTGATATCATTTCAAGCCATCTGAAGTAACGAAGTGCTTTAAAATGATAGCTTATTCCACATGTGGAAACTATAAAATGAGGGAAGTATAACGGGCAGTTGTGAAGAGCTATACAAGTTTACATGAAATTAGTGTCATCTTACTTTGGGCAGCAGAGCAATTCATTCAAGTTGCAGTAACAGATCACCTCACAGCCCTTCCCTTCCCAGAAGTGATCTCGCAGACCATCGTCGACGTGTCGGAGGTTCTCCTTGCTTTCAGGGATGGTGTGACAGCTGTGGTCCTTGAGGGCCCTCTTGTAACAGGAAGGGCGCTGGGAAGGCACGGCGGGGGTACCCAGGAGGCTGCTCAGCAGCAGCAGCACCGAGACCATCTTCATTTCTGCCAAGCTTCCCACAGCAGGGTGCTAAAGAGAAACGAGGTATGTGACACAGATATTGCTGCTGAACAGACCTCTTTCCCTGATTTGCTTTCTGCCTTGCATTTTTCTTCCCTGTGAAGTTTTGGTCATTTGAGCCTGAGTGCTGGAGAGTGTTTTCTCCTAGGAGGTAAATAATATTGCAGCAGAATTGATATTCATTACTTTCTGTACAACCTTGGGAATCCTTACATTGGGAATTGAGGCTTCTGATGCTGGCAATTTTGTTGTTTCTTTGGCCTCTCACCTTGAGAAAATTGCTTTGAGCTGGTCGTGTTTTCTTGGTGGTGTAAGTGATTGTATCGATTGCTACCAAGCAGGGGGGAAATGTCTGGGCATGTGTCCTTGCCTTCCTGGCCACTTTGCCTGTCAAAGCAAGAGTCAGCCACGTAAAATAAATAGTATCCTTCCCCATCAAAGTTGTGGAAAAACTGCTTGCTGATTGAATTCTGTGTCATGGGTTGTGTGAGAAACTGAGGCATTAAGCAGCCAAGGAAGCCGAAGCTGTCTGCAGTGCTGTCCTGGGCTTTGGTATGATATAAAATTATGGAGAATCTTCTTTACTGGGTTTTTTTAGTACTGCAGACTGATTAGTTGAGTCTTGCCACTGGAGGTCATTATGGTAGTTAAACCATAATGAAGCTTTTTAGAAGGTGGGGTAAATTTATCCCTTACAAAACTCTCCTGCTGGCCACTAGGCTTTGCATTGTTTTGTTTAACATGAGCTCTGCTACTCAGTGCTGCTTTGCACAGTCTGACCATACCACAAAGCTTTGGATCCTTGAACTTGCATTCACTTTTAAACTAGGCTTTTGAACAACGTTTCAACTGAGCTTTTATTGATATTAGGAAAGAGAGGGGGTTTTTACCTTTCCTCATGCTCAAACAAAATGGATCTGTTATCTTAACTGAATTTAAATAGGAATTCTGCTCTGAAAATGAACCTAAGAATAACTAGCTCTGCCCAGCACTCTCCCTGTGTGCTCATTATTTTTCTTGTGTAAGACTTGAGGAAGATTTGCTGTCCTTCATCCTGTTGGCACTTTGGAATTGATATTGTGACACGACATTATGGGCCTGCCTTGGTCTTCCTTGCGGGGCTGAAGATTAGAATGGGCTAACCCAAAAATAACAATGTGCAAGACGATGCATAATCGAAGACCATCAAAGGTGAAGTTAAGATGGTACAGATATTATCTAGATAAGGAAAAAAATGAAGTATGCCAGCTGTACATGTGACTATAATATGGGTTGCTTTGTAAAAATCTTGAGATCACCCTTGAAAAACAAACAGTAAACTTCTAAATATATAAATCTACAGTATTCTTTAGTCATTTTTCTCAGGTAGTTTTCTTGCCACTGCAGCTATCTTATCATCCATTTCTACTGCCAATGAATAAAATGCCATGTAAGAAAACCTGAAAATTTAGATTGATATTAGGGATAAAATACAACACCTCAAAGCTTTTAGGTTATTTATTTTTATATATAAACTTGGGCTTTTTGAACATCAGTAGCCAAATAAAATATTAAAAAGTGGCCAATATATTAAAAAAACACGAGTGAAGTGAGAATAAGCTCTTCGGTATTTTTTTTATTTTTGGCTTCTGTTGTAGAAGCAAAATTCATTGAATAATTCTTTTAGTTTCCACAGACTTGTATGGGAACTTTTGAGTAGAAGACTCCTATAAACTACTAGTAATGGAGCCTTGGGGATCTATTTTTAATTACCTCAGAGTGCAGTATTGAATAACATATTGTCTTTATTAGTTTTAGACCTCAAAACTACTACTCAAATAAAGTAAACATTGTTCTAACCTTGTCTGGTGTTTTTTAGACTTGAGTGAAGAATCTGTATTATTATATTTATGGTTTTATTTTGTGGGAGTATAAACACTTTAGTTATGAGGGTTCTGCTCAGAGAAGTCTAATGCTTAAAGAGCAAAATATTTGGTTATAATATACCTAGATAAATGCCAGTGTACAGTTCTTCAGGGGGTACAATTTAATCTTCTGTTCAAATAGTTGAGCTTAATTATTTAAGTATTTAATGGAAGAAAATTTCCATGAAAGAGAAAATTGGGAAGCAGGGGGTTTATGCCTTTGTTTCCTGTGATTGAATTATTCTGTGTTCTTCTACTGAGGATGAGGCATTCATGATACTTTGCTCTTGTGAACTTTTTTTTAATTTCTAATAATTCAGGTGATCTTTCTCTACCTGGAGTTCAACTGAAATGTTCATTTGAATCTGTTGGCACCTGCCTATCTTCTCAAAATTTGCAGGAATTCACTTCCTGAGGAACAGGCACATTCATCCTGAAAATAGGCACATTCTTTATGCGCTGTCAAATTGCTAGATTCAAAAATCACGACCTACTGTTTTTAAGGTGATTCTGTAACTCACTACTTGTCTTTAAAAATAATAGGATGTTGCTGTAGTGTGTCATCAGGAGGGTTTCTATGGGTGGGTGCCAAAACCACTATTAGCAAAGTCAACATGCTGGATAGACAGCTCCTCTGACCAGTTACGCATCTTACATGTGATAAACATTAATTATAAGCATTAGTGATAAGCATTATTGTTATTCACAAAAAAATATTAGAATTTTGTTTCTGCTTAAATATTTCCTCAGTTTTTTTTTTTGTTGTTGGTGTTGTTGTTTTGTTGGGTTTTTTTAAGATCATAACCAAACAGAAACTTTTTGTCAAAGGACCTTTCTTCAAACGGTTATTTCTTTCCTGGGGTTGAACAGTCCCTATTTGCAGATGACAAATTGCCAGGGAGCTGAAGTGTTTTATCAGCTCCCTGCACAGGATCAATGCAGGTAAATTCATTAGACCTTTCAGGTGCAGCATCTCTGTCTGACAAACAGCTACAACTTCTTTTTCTGTGTGCAATTGAACAGATGTTGGAGTGTCACTGATTGCCTAGGTAAAGAACAGAGCTGGTATGTGCATGTTGATTTCAAAATGGGTGTCAAAGGCATTGTCTGCTTTTGCAGAGCACAGAAGATAGGCTTTACTCATAAAACAAGTCAGGAAAATGTGATGAACAAATCCAATCACTAATGTGGCTCAAAGACTCATTCATTACCAACAAGCATCCTCTTACAGTTCTTTATTTTATAAAGCCTTCTGAAAAGATAGCAGTGCCAGGCATGCTAAGTCTGACCAGCTTGCTCTATCAAGATGTTATCATTTCAAATTCTAGCAGGACTAAAGCCGTCTAAAAATACTGAAAATTAGTTCCTTGCATTTGCGTAAGTTCTTTTCAGTTAATTTTGATTATTTTGACGTGGCGTAAGTTTTAAGACCAAATGTACCTGGGAATACAAGTGTTTGAAATGGTTTGGAGCTTTTCCTAAAGGAAAATGGTTAGTGTGGGAATATGCATGATGAGTCAGGAATTAGTGCTGTCTCTGCTTGTTCAGCTAAGAGTGTTGGAATTATCTTGCCAAGCAATTTGGCACCATCTAGTCTTTGGATCCGCTAGATGCAGAGGTAAATCAGACTGAAGAGAAAAGCCCAAATCTCGGCTTCATTGTCCAAGAGTGACAGGGTAATAGTTCATGAGAAGTGATCTCCTTTGAAGGTCACACAGTATCAGTAGGAGCTCAGGTATTGGAAATAGAGAAAACTGAGAAATGGCACAAAATGTGTATTTTGGCACTTCTAGAGCGTGGTTGGGAAAATAGAAATATTTGTAGGTTGGTCTATCAACCATTAAAAATATCAATCCTTCATTAAATATACCCTTATTTTCCCCTTAAGTAGGCTGTGTTTCTAGTTGCCTAACGTCAAAAACAAGAAATACATTACTTGGTACACTTTTGGCAAATGTTTTTCTCCAGTCTGTCCAGTGGCATGTGCCAGGTTAACAAGTTCCACTTAAAAGCACATACATATTAAAATTGTTTCACTTATTCAAAATGAAATGTATTTTAGTGTTTATTTATTTGTCAAGTTTGCCTTTCACAAACACCTGTGAGATGCTGATTATTTAATATTTAGGTGTTAATGCTCGATAGTTAGGTTTATTAGTGTATTACTAAAAAGTCATTACACAAGAACTGCCTAACTGATATTATTGTAAAGAATTTTTTCCCTTAAAAAATTTCTTAAATCTATTTTGCTTGAACAGTTGGTGCACTGTAAGTACAGCAGCTATTCCACTGAGGACGAATTCAGTGAATTACTGCTTTGTAATTGTCATCAATACCATGATTCTTTCCAGAAACTGAGTTCTCATTAAACCCCATTTAGTTTTCTTTAAGACAGCAGTTCATTGTGAAGACACCTCTCTCCATACATATATTGAGGACTGGAAGGCAATATAGTTTATTTAGTGACTTCAGATGTTAATATGTAGTATCCAACTTCGAAGAAAAGCAAGACAGTAAAAGAATTATTTTGATCAGGATCCCAGTCATGCAACTGTCTTGCATGGTACCTCTTGCTTGCAATATAACAGTTTCTCCCAAATCTTGTTCTGCATATTCCCATATGTATTTCTAATTCTTTATTCTGTAACTAGAAGGAGCAGAACAAGTAGACAAGGATAATTTCAGGAGCAAAACGTACCTTTATCTTCTGGTTCACTCCCTTCCACTTTCTTGGCAGCTGTATCTTTTTAGATGTGCCCAGAGAGAGCTAGAGCTAGCGAGGATGAGAAGAGGGAGGGCTGATGGGAGATGCTGTACAAGCAGCCCTTTGTTTGTCCTGACTCCTGGCTGTGAGTGGTGAGCGCTGTTCTCCAGCAACCGGTCAGAGGTTGGGCTTCAGGAGCCTCCTCTCTCGATCCCATGCCAGCCCAGTCTTGGGGCAAAAATGTAACATATCCCTTCCAGCAGGAAACAATTCATTCATCCAGGATCTGATGCAAAGGTGTCTCCTCAAAGAGCAAAGCATAACATACAAAACAAGAAAAGAGGAAAGATCCCGTGGAATAACGGTGTCTTGCT